ATTTTGTGAAATCAGTACAACTTTCATATAGAGGTGTCTCAGCATCACACTTCAATCTGTTAAACATTTTAGGACAATCGTCAAGTTTTCGTTCAATCGCATTGGTCATATCCTCAAGATGGTCAGCTTCACATGTAATTGTGTCAAAATTAAACGATCCACAGCTTTCACTATGCCCTACCATTACTCACGTCCCCTGTCTCTCCGTACTTTGTCCAGTACTTATAACTTTGATCGGTTCTATTGATAATTAAGTGGCTCTCACAATTAGATGGCGAAATCCACTTCAGAAGGCAAAACTTAAGACAGGGGCAAATAATCCTATTGGGATCATCGGTGTGCGCAACCGTAAACTTAACAAAATCTTCTACCCCATCCCAATATTCCTTTGATGGACGATTAGTGGACATTCATTCCTTATCCATAGTTCCCAACTAGTAATTCAACAAAAATTCACTTTCACTTTAGTTTGAAAAACAAGCTTCAAATACATAAATCAATCTAAATCACAGTAGGTAGCTCTATAAATGTATCATCAAAGAAACCTTGATTATGGTTAATTACAACTATAAGTTCAACAATGATAATTGTTTTTCATAAATAACATTTTTGGTTTCAAGCATAAGAACTCAATGACAAGTTTAGTGGGATAATTAATAACTCTTATCATAACTGCTCAAATTTTCTCTACATTAAATGAACCCCTGTGTGCATGTAGTTTATTAGTGGTGTGCCTTGCTAGAGGTTTTATTTATATCTAAAAGACGGATTCAAGTACTCCTAAGTCATGAACAAAACACATTAAATGCATAATGGTAGGGGTGTGCAATAGGTTTGTTCAATTTGGTTTGGAAACCAAAATAACCTATCACTGAATTGAAATGTTTTTTAGCACCGAACCGAACTAATCTTCTCTCAATAACCGAATGAAACCTAACCAAAATATGTCAGGTTTGGTTTCAGTTAGTCTAATCGGTTAATAGGCATATTAGTTTTTCTCCTGTTTAAATTTGCCATGAAGTCGCAGACGTGTGTGTTTGATATTGAACAAGAATGGTGACTCAGCAAAAGAGAGAATGAGAGAGATAAAATATGAACATCGACTTAGCAAGTGTGTGTGTGTGTGTTTGTGTTTGATGTTGAATAATGAGGAGAAGAGGAAAAGCATGGATGAAGTAATAAGCATCACATAGGAAATGAGAGCAAAAGCATCGATATGAGGAGAGAGAAGAAGGCAACACCGTGGCAGTAAAGAATATCAGTAAGAGAGTGTGAAGGAGGGAGCATTAGAGCAAGTTGAGGCTGATGATGCTCTGAGATATGTTGGCAAGAAGAAGAAGGCATTTCTGAAATTGTGTGGTGGGGAGGTGGAAGCTGCACATTAGATGAGGATATGGGATAAGGAGGCTGTGATAGGAGAAAAGAAAACATGACAAGTTGTCTTGCTTTAGGGTTTAGATATATTGGGCTAGTTTTAGTTAGAAATATACTTGGGCCAATCAGCTTTTACGTTAGCTTTTTTTTTTTTTCACTAGAAGCTTTTACCTAGCTTAGTTTCTTATTATATATATATTTATTATATATATAATATTATATATACTCATTTTTCAGTTTTTTGGTTTTAAACCGAAATATTTTTAATAACTGAACCAAAAACTGATCGCCAAAATTTAAGAAAAATAAAACCAAAACCAAAACTGAACACCAAAATAACCGAACTGAAAAACCGAAAATAGGTTCAGTTCGATGATTGGTTACGGTTCGGTTTTGGTCACCCCTACATAATAGACAGAGAGGATATATGAGAAATAGTGATGTGGATACAACAAAAATATTTGCTAACCTTTTTTTTTTGTTGAGAGTCTTCCGTACCAAGGGGAAGCTAAAATGAAGGATCAGAGTAAAAGGGAATGAAGATGCGCAAACTACAAAACAAAAGAGAAATATCCAGTAACGATTATAATACAGAACAAACATGAGAAAATGAACATGTAAAAGATGATTTATTATTTTTCGTTCTATAATTGAACAGTAGCATAAGTCAAGAAGAATTAGAATATAAGAGCAAAGGCAAAGTAGCTCCTACCACAAGGAAGGAACACAACGTCCGGTAACCTTACTAGAGGGAAAGAACAGAACCAGCTAGAGTGCTTGAATAGATTCTGAATAGCAGCAAACGCAATATGAGAATGAAAGAACTGAGCGAGAGCGAGAGAGCAAGAGTAAGAGATAGAAGACCAAAAAGGGGTCCAGAAAGTTGTATATTGTTTAGTCGGGTCCTTTGTCAGTTCGCATTAGCCTCCAGCAATGCGTGGGTTCTCTGTCCTTGCGAGATGGCCGACAACAGTTTTGAGAATTTAGAGAGCAACAATGGTGGAGGATGAACCACAAAAGCCAAAGGGAAAGGCTGAAAATGAGGTGTGGATGGCGAATTATAGGTCTGTGAGACCTGGACAGAGCTTGGGAAGAAGAAGGGTGCCTGAAATTTCAAACTAAGGTCGAGGGAAATGAACAGATTTGGGAGTTTTTAATGACAGAACTTGACGATTTCATTGAACAACTGTCAAGTATTATTAAACTTGACGGTTCTTAAAGAAACCGTCAAGTATTCTTACAAAATATTTAACGGTTCTAAAAGGAATCGTCAAGTATTCTAAAAATATTTCATAGTTCCTATAAAACCGTAAATTTTTACTCTTATTTGACAATGTTTTTATAACTGTCAAGTATGATACGTCAAGTATTTCTCATTCTATAGTAGTGCATCAATGGGTTCAAACAAGGAAGAAGAAGAAAGGAAATGAATTCTCACATGACGTGAATAAAAATTTACAACTACATAATCCTCAATGATAATTTTCACAAATGATGGTGACAATGATGTGGTTAATTCAAGGAGTGTTGAAACACCCGTCTTTTTACCCCATTTAGTATGCATTTAGGAGCGCTACGGTTCAAGCAAATTATAAATTAAGCTCGTAGATTAAAAATTTATATTTTAATTATCGAGTTACTATTTATTTGGTAATTTTAAATTTTTGGATTAACTTTAAAAATTTATAACTAATTATTAAAAAAATCATATTAAGGTGTTCGAAGTTGTAGATAGGTTGTACATAATTGAAGAATAGTTACATTGTACTCCTTTCGTCTCTTTTTATAAGCAACATCAGACTCCTTTATATAGATGAAAATTTTTTCTCCAAAATACCCTTATTTATGTGTGGGAGAGAGTATAAAAAGAGAATAAGAAAATTATTATCATAAAGAGAGTTATAAAAGAGAGAGAATGTGTGATTGAGAGCGATAATGGTTTGCAAAATAAGATAATAAATATATTGAGTATCAAAATAAATAATTAATGAGGTAAAATAGAAAATTTGTTACAAAAATTTAAGACAATTTGCGAATGTTACTTATATTTATGAACAATAGGGAAATAGTAATTGTTGCTTATAAAAAAGGACGGAGAGAGTACTTGCGAAAATGAGTTGTACTCAATACCTTAAACAAATTTCTCGTAATTCTAGGTAATAAAAGACTTCCAATAGGTACTTCTCAGCAAATTTTCCATATTTATAACCACATTCGTCAATATTATTATGGTTATCTCATCATCATCACTTGCTTAAGTTTATTTTGAAGTTAATTTCATTCCCCAGCATTTCAATTACTTTGCAAGCCATAGCCCAGTTCCATTTATCATATTATTGTTTGGAAAAATAAATAAAAATAGACATTAAAAATAGAAAAATTGTAAAAAGGGGCCTTGTTACAATATTAGTATTGGTTTTAACAGCAATTGATAAGAAATTGACAATAATTTTTGTTAATATGCAAGTTTTCAATTTTAAAGGTCTTTTTTTGTGATTTTCCCTTATTGTTTCAACCCTGAATTTCAACAACAAACAATCAAATGGCCAAAACTATATGAGTTATGGATGAGGGGGAAATATTGTTTTATGATCTAAAGTGGACAATTAATTCAGAGGATAAACGAAGAATCTTCTCACATTGTACATAGACCGACGATAAAATTTTTTTTTTTCAAGATATAAATATATACATCTATTGAAGGAGAAAAAGGGACGTTCCTCTTCTCGTGCGGCCTAGATAACAAAATCCAAACTTATAACTTTTCAAAAGATAAAAATTAAAAGAAGAAGAAAAACAGTAGTTGATATTGCCATTTCCAGTGTTAGAAATCTGGAAACTCATGGAAAGTTTTTCCAACGCATGTTATCCTAATCCTGCAGATTATTCAAAGCCGTGTTCAGGGAGTTTGAAACGGTACGTTGCACATTTATTGATGGGACCTAATGAAATGTGTCGCATGAATTTTAACATTACATCCACGGCTTAATATAAGACACAGTTGATTGATTACCTAAGTATATTATATATTACATAATCTTTCTAAAATATTTATATGTATTATTATATTAAATATCAGTTTATGAGTCAGACAAATTAGTTTAAAAAATAATAAATATAAATATTTTAAAGTAATTTATTTAATCTCTTCAAATTACTTAATTAGGTTTTATATTAAGGATTTAGTATCATTTTTCTGAGTCTTTTAGGTTTTTTGACCTTTAAGTCAAACGAGTTCGGAACATATATCTTCTTCAACCAATCAAACTGGCATTAATGCCTCTTATTCTAATTCTGATCAGTCAAAGCCGTGTTTATGTGGATCCATCAAATTAAAGGAGTTCATGTCCTTCTTATACGGCATGAACAAAAATTTTCAACCATATTATCATCAATAATAATGTCCATAAATGATGGAGATGTGATGATCAATTCAAGGAGCGTCACTTACGTTTTCAAATTTCCATACTGCTAGAAATCTCGAAAGTGATGGCTCCTGGGAATAAACTCTTCAGTCTCAGCTATCTCATACGTCCAAACTTTCTCCTATTTTTTCTTCTTCGTTCATTCTCTTTCTTTAGTCAACATGGCTCCTGGGAAATTCTTTTTTTTTTCATTCCTTTGTTTTCTCAGTCTCTCTCTTTTTCTCACTGATGCCGTTAAATATACGTAAAATTCCATAAGCATGCGTTTCTCTTTTTCTATATAAACTCTTCAGTCTCAGCTATCTCATACGTCCAAACTTTCTCCTATTTTTTGTTCTTCGTTCATTCTCTCTTTCTTTAGTCAACATGGCTCCTGGGAAATTCTATTTTTCATTCCTTTGTTTTCTCAGTCTCTTGCTTTTTCTCACTGATGCCGTTAATGTTTCTCACGATGGAAGAGCTATCATTATCTATGGCCAACGTAGGATTCTTATTTCTGGTTCAATTCACTATCCAAGGAGTACCCCTGAGGTCTGTGATTTTTTTATCTGATACAATACTCATATACACACACACACGCAATATATATTTGTATCATTATTATGTTTATTTCTTGTTAAATAATAAATGGATTTGCTTATATATTATTATTAAATTGAGTTTGTTCATGTGTGGGTTATAGATGTGGCCTGATTTGATTCAAAAAGCAAAAGAAGGAGGACTTAATACGATAGAGACTTACGTGTTTTGGAATGCTCATGAACCAGTTCGTCGTCAATACGATTTTTCTGGAAATAATGATCTTATCAGATTTCTAAAAACCATTCATGAAGCTGGTCTCTATTCTATTCTTCGTATTGGTCCTTATGTTTGTGCTGAATGGAACTACGGGTATCCTTAATTACTTAATTAATAATTACTTTTTATAATTTTTAGTTTTGATATATATATATATATATCATATAATTCTAAATCGTTTTATTTTTCAAGGGGTTTCCCTGTGTGGTTGCATAATTTGCCTGGAATTGAGATGAGGACAACAAATAATGTGTTCATGGTTAGTTAATTATTTCAATAAATTATTTTTATATATTTTATATAGTATATGTTGTTTATGTTGTTTATGTTGTTTCTATTTGGTTTTACACAGAATGAGATGCAAAATTTTACTACATTGATAATAAATAAAATCACTGAAGAGAAACTTCTTGCTTCTCAAGGCGGTCCCATAATTATTGCCCAGGTACTTTTATATAGTAGCTCATGAATTGATCTTTCTAAAAAAATTTACACAATTCCTGGACCAAATTGATTTATTTTGTTGAATTAATAGATCGAGAATGAGTATGGGAATGTTATGGGTGCTTATGGAGATGCTGGAAAGGTGTACATAGATTGGTGTGCTTCAATGGCGGAGTCTTATAATATTGGAGTTCCGTGGGTCATGTGCCAACAAAGTGATGCTCCTCAACCAATGGTAAAATTAGTTAATTAAATATTTTTTTCAAATTCTCAATCTAATTATCATTTTCTAATTTCTAATTATAATACTTTTGATTGATTCACTTTATCAGATCAATACATGTAACGGCTATTATTGTGATCAATTCACACCCAATAATCCCAATAGTCCTAAGATTTGGACTGAAAATTGGGTAGGATGGTAAGTCCTAAATCATTTTATTTTAGGTTTTATATTTGTTTATTAATCATTAATTAAATCATTTTTCATCATTATTATTCTTATAATTATTAAAGGTATAAAAGTTGGGGTGATCGAGATCCACATAGGACGGCTGAAGATGTTGCCTTTGCTGTAGCCAGATTTTACCAAAGTGGAGGAACCTTGCAAAACTATTATATGGTAAATTATATTAATATATATATTTAAACATATAAAATAAATAAAATTGTGTGATTATAATTTATGAAATATGTATATCGTTTTATTACAGTATCATGGTGGAACCAACTTTGGTAGAACTGCTGGTGGTCCGTACATTACAACCTCATATGGCTATGATGCTCCTCTCGATGAATTTGGTATATAATCATAATTATTAAATCAAATTGATTAATTCTTTCTATATATATTTGCCCAACATAACTTTTAATGAATGTGACATAATAATCTGATCCAATGATTTGTAGGAAACATTGCTCAACCAAAATGGGGCCATCTCAAGAAACTTCACGAGGTTTTGAAATCAATTGAGAAAAACCTTGTATATGGAAGTGTCAACGAAACTGATCTCGGTAATTCTGTTGAGGTACACAATTTTAAATAAAGTTATTGTCAGCACATATTACATGTTGATAGAATTCGAAGTGGTTAATAATGTTTGATGTTGAAAATGTTGTAGGCCACTGTGTATGCCACAAATGGATCATCAAGTGTGTTCTTGAGCAGCATTAACACTACTTCTGATGCAACAGTCACATTCAATGGAAAGCAATATACCGTTCCTGCTTGGTCTGTTAGCATTCTTCCTGATGGTCAAACTGAAGAGTATAACACAGCAAAGGTGTGATTTTTTGTACAACGTTTGATGAAATCTGGTTTTTTTTTCCCCCTCCAAATTCTGTATTACAAAGAATCTAACATATATATGTTGTTGTGTGGTTAATTAGATTAATGTTCAAACTTCTTTGAATGAGCATTGGCCAAATGAAGCTGAGAAGCAGCCAGAATCATTGAAGTGGGTGTGGAGGCCTGAGAATATTGATGATGCTCTCAAAGGCAAATCTCATTCTTCTGCAAATAAACTCATTGATCAAAAGGAAGTCACTAGTGATGCCAGTGACTACCTTTGGTACATCACCAGGTAAAGTCATTCTCCTTTCTTCAATCATTTTCCCCATTTTTTAATTAGTTGATGGTCTAAGCATTTACTATTCTAATTCGGAAGGCCTAACAATCTTTAATTTGCTTCCTTCTTTGGTAGCCTTCATCTTGACGAACATGATCCTATTTGGAGTGATGATATGTCTCTTAGAATCAATGCAAGTGGCCAAGTAATTTATGCATACCTCAACGGACAGCATATTGGTAAAAGGAGCACTTCTTTGTACTGCTTCATTTGCTTATGAATAAACTATGATTAGCTTAATTAACATTGTGCTAATTTTGATGTATATAGGAACTCGCGGGGCTAAACATGGCATTTCTTCTGATGAGGTTGAATTTAAGATCAAGCTGAATAATGGAAAGAATGTGATTAGTTTGCTTAGTGTCACCACTGGACTCCAGGTATCATAATCATATATTGATATTAGTTAGTGCAAATTTGTAGATATTGAACATACTGTGTTATTTTGATTTAATTATAATGGTATATTTTCTTTGTTTGAACAGAACTTCGGGTCGTTTTTTGACACATGGCCCACTGGTCTGGTTGGACCAATTGAAGTGGTTGGTAGAAAGGGTGAGCAGACAATCATTAAGGACTTATCTTCTCACAAGTGGCATTACAAAATTGGATTGGATGGTTGGGATAAAAAATTCTTCAGTGAAGAGTCTAGTCTTAACACCAAATGGGCATCAGACCAATTACCCACTAACAGAAGCTTCACCTGGTACAAGGTGCCTAACAATTGACGTATTATATTATATCATTTTTAGTCCAATAATTAAAATTAAATTGTGGATAACTGATTCATTCATTTGTGAATTTAAATGCGTTAGACCACATTCAAAGCTCCTCTTGGAAAAGACCCTGTGGTGGTGGATTTGGAAGGACTAGGTAAGGGATTTGCTTGGGTCAATGGTTACAATATCGGTCGCTATTGGCCTACCTACTTGACTGCAGAAGATGGTTGCACTAATGATCCTTGTGATTATCGCGGTGAATATTCTAACGCAAAATGTATTTCCAACTGTGGAAAGCCTACACAAAAATGGTTAGTTTGATTTTTCTTAGAGTAAGGAATCTAGATTCCTAGCCATTCAAATTTGATATAAACAATATATTAAATATGTTTTTTCAGGTATCATGTTCCTCGATCATTCCTCAAAGACGGTGACAACACATTGGTTTTATTAGAGGAGATGGGAGGAAACCCGTCATATGTAAATTTCCGAACAGTTAGTGTTGGAACTGCTTGTGGAAATGCCTATGAAAACCACACATTAGAACTATCTTGCCAAAGTCGTCCAATTTCTGCCATTAAATTTGCCAGTTTTGGAGACCCTCAAGGCACATGTGGTTCATTTAACAAAGGCACATGTGAAAGTAATAAGGATGCGCTCTCAATTATAGAGAAGGTAATTAATCTCTTGATGTATACATACTTTTTTGGAAAAATTGGTAAAAAAAATCCCTTTTTGAAATTTTAATTAGTCAGAAGGATCTGATTTGTGCAAGTGCAAGTATGATCCGTGAGTGCAACATATCATCAGCTATGTGCAATTACATTTTTTACTACTTGGATTAAATATTTTATATTTATGCATTCATTCAGTCAGAGATTAATTGATTAATTCAGTAAATAACTAATTAATTTACCTTAATTACTTAACATAATGCAGGCATGCGTTGGTAAGCAGACTTGCTCCATTGATGTATCTGAGAATACCTTTGGGTCGACTAACTGTGGAGATATCACAAAGAGACTTGCGGTGGAGGCAGTTTGCTAAAAATTTTAATTTTGATATAAAAATTAGGTGTGATTTTATAGTCCTAATTATTAGGTTAGCTTGTTATAGTTTAAGTTTCTTTTTCTTTTTCTTTTGTTTAAAATTCAGTCATGGTGATGTCTTAAGTACATCCTAATCTTTTGAGTCCACCTTAAATAACAATAATGGTTAGTTATATATAAATTTCATGTTTTCCTATCTTTTTCTCCGGCGTTATTATATGATCATTCAGGGTCCGTTTGGATGAGCGATTGGAAAAGCAGCTTATAGGAAAAGTAGCTTATGGAGAAGTGAAGTTGGTAAAAGCTAAATTGGATAAGCTGAATTGTGTTTGGATTGGAGTTCAGAAAAGCTAATTTGTAGAAGTGAGATTGGTAAAAAGGTGTTTGGATTATAGTTGAGTAAAAGTGAGTTTGGTTATAAAATGACTAAAATGGGTATAAGTGTTAATAAATAATGAAATATGATAATAAAAAATGATTTGACATAATACAATGAAATTAAAATAATTTATTATGAAGAAGTCAAATTAATGAGTGAATTAAATTTTAAAATTTCAAAAAAATCATAACAAAAATTTTAAATATAATGTGAAACATGAAAAAAAAATGAATTGATATAATACAGTGAATTATTGTTAATTTGATATGAAAAAGTGAAATTGATCGAGAGAATTAAATTTGAAAACATAAGAGAAATGGAAAAAAAATTGCAAATATAAATCGAAACATAATTTGAATGGGTAAACATGTTTTTAACTCCAATTTACAGTATTGCAATAAAGTGAAACTAAATAATATTACATAACTAATCAATAGATAAGCTATGGATAATTTGGTCTCTGATTGCATCACGGACGCGATTCATATGCGATGAAGACTGTGATGTAACATTTGAAGATGATGGTTGACTAGCTTCAGCCTGATCATGTTCACCCACATTATTACCATTTTCAGCTTGTTCAAAAAACAAGTCGGAGCTCGAATGTCTCCTTATAAGGTTATGAATGGCCATTGTTGCACAAACCAGATACACTTGTGTTTGGAAGTCGTAACTGCGCATATTTCGGAGGACTTGAAATCTATTCTTCCAAACACCGAATGTTCTTTCTATTGTGCACCTTAAACTGGAATGATAATAATTAAAGGCTTCGTTGCTATTTCGGAATCCTACTTGTCGTCGGAAGTCTGGAAGGTGGTAGCGCTCAGATCTGTATGGACCTAGATATCCATTTGGTGTTGGATATCCCGCATCAACCAAGTAATATTTCCCTAATGATTCATGAAACAATTTGAGAGATTGTGAAATGAATAAAAGTATGAAATAATTAAAAGAACATGCATGATTGGAACACATAAACATATACCTGGAGGTGGATGAGGGAAATTAAGAGATGAATTTGTAATAGCACTATCAAATATACGAGCATCATGTGCAGATCCCTCCCATCCTGCCAAGACAAAAGTGAAACACATATCCCAGTCACATACAGCCATGACATTTTGTGATGGATATCCCTTTCTGCCAATAAATTTGTCTCGTTTTGCAGCGGGGACAACACACTGTATATGAGTGCCATCAATTGCTCCGATTGCGTCCTTAAAAAATGGGTAGTAACGTGGATCGTTCTCAATTTTTCTATGAGTTCCACGAAATGTTGGATCTATGGGTCGAATAAGTTCACTCGATAGGCTAAGACAAGCTTGCAGTACATTATGAAAGTGCCTACTTACAGTTTCCCCTGATCGTTGAAATCGTTCCTGGATCATCCTATTGCATTGTCCATGTGCAACCGTGTTTAAAAACATCGCAACCATTTCTTCAATTCCTACGTACTTAGACTTTTGTAAACCATGTTCCACCAATTTAGTACATAAGAGGTGGAAAACATCTTTATCCATTCTAAACATTTCATGACATCGATCATCATGCCCATTCATAATGCCTTGTACCCATAAATTTCCTGTCTGCTCACTAGTTCTGCACGGTTGTTTAAACATGTACATTTCACAATAATGACCAACCAATGCACCTACTGCTTCATATTGTGTTAATTCCTCATTAATTATGGTTGAATGGTCATCTTCATTTGGCTGTGAATCGTTATTCCAATTCCATAAAGTATCTTCATTCCATGGTGAATCATCGTTCCAATTAGCCATTTCTGGAATTAACCCTGTAATTATGGTGAAAACAAAATGTAAGCATTATAAGGATTACACTAAACAAAGTGTAAATAATTTTCATACTGCAAACAGAAAAACCAAACGCATAGATGACAAGTAGAAATTAGCGTAAATATATTACATAATGATTAATAAAGTTCCTACAACATGCCACATCAGTTTAGGTTACATAATGATTAATAAAGTTCCTACAACATGCCACATCAGTTTAGGTTAAAACAGCAGGTAGTTCAGGTTAACAAGTGCAATAACAATAGTTAAACAGCTAAGTCCTAAACTAAATCCTATTCTGCAGGTCACTTCCATGTGTCTGGGTCTTGTGCTGCCGGTATCAACCACCTCAACAACTTGCTTCTATCATGCATAAGCCCCAAATAGGCTCGCCTAGCCCACCTCAACCGCGTAAGCATCTTGGCACATGCATAATATAGTTGATTGTCATCATTAAGCTCCTCAACGGTAGTCAGGTGTGCCAAAACCTTATCAACTATTTGGGGATCTTCAACCAATGCTGCTGCTCGCTTGTCAGAAGCAGCTGCTATGACACTCAGGCTATCAGAAATTAATGTAGTTGCAGCAACTTTCTTCTTCTTCTTTGCATCTGATGTCTCACCCCTCTTTCTCTTTCCATAGCTTCCTGAGCCACTTGGTCCAGTACTTGCGGGGGTGTTTATGTTGCAAGCAGCGAAGTCATTTGTGAAGGCACTGGCTGTTGGGTCCACACCAAAGTTTTCATCCTCACTATCCCCTGACCCTTCTTGTTGGTCTAGCCCGACTCTATAAACATCCTCCTCTTCTGTGTCAGGCTGTGGAGCAAACGCTGGCTGAGGCTGTGAGGCTGATGGTGCGTACGCATACTCTCCCGAAGCCACAACATCTCTGAATATTTTCATCAGATCTGATGCAAACATCAGCCCCTGATGTCTAAATTTCTTGAAATTAGGGTCCACCTACATGAACATAATTAGGCATAATTAAGCGTTGTTCCTTCTGATATTCAAAATTAAAACTCAACTAACACAAATAATTACCAGTATTTTTCGTTGCCACCACTCATCAGAGGCCAACACCCTATTTGTGGCTGCATCATAACCAATGCCAGTCTCCCCAGACATCAGTTTTTCCCACAACTTCCAATCTTTTCTCAATACATCAAATCTGTTCTTCAGTTGCTTCCTGTCATACATTTTCCCGCTCCTTTCCCGAAAATTCTTTTCAATTTTCAACCAACCAGGTCTTGTAAACGATGTTCCTTGTCTTTCTTTGTGTACTATTTGCTCGGCACAAACATCGATTAGAATTTTTGTCGTGTAATGATCCCATGTCGCTTTTCCCTTGTCATTATCCATTTCTCTACGCCCTTTGATCGAGATAAGAGCAACTAAATCAACCAAAGCCCTAAATATGTAATAATGAAAGCCGTATTATATAACACATACATTGTAACCAAACAAACATATATCACCAAGTAACACATTTTAATTGCATAAGCTGTTTAGTTTTCTTATTCAATATTTTTTAAAATTATAAATATATAATCACAATGTCAATGTCCACTATTTTCCAGTGGTAATTGATTGTGAACATTTTGAAATTAAATTTTCAATATATCATATAAATTGAACCTAAACTGCATTACATTGTTTAATTTTTATCCTAATTTAACTATGTAAAAGTCAAATAAAAACCAAATTAAGAATGATGAACAAGATTATTTACAAAAATATGTTATATTTATTATAATTAACTAATTTACATAACTTTTTAAATATAATTAAATTAGTTAAATAAATATCATATTAGAGAGAAGTAAGAGAATATAACAGGAGAAAGAACAACATTAAATTTATTTTGATTGAGACTTCCCGAAATTAATTCCAAATGATTTTTAAGTAATTACCCACATAGTCCTTAATTTCTTTGTATAGTACAAATTAATGTCTTATTACTTTGCTCTATCAACGCCGTTAATTAACTCTATCAAATGAACCATCCGGACACACATATATACACCATGTTACCATCTCATTCTCTTCTACCCTACCCTCATAGAGATCGACCGAAGCTAGGGACATGCAAAACAAAAACCATTGTAATTCTGAAAATTACAATTTCAGAGTTACATATCTCGCCATTAACAGACATATACTGAACAATTTAAATCCCCAACACTGCACACCCAAGCCTTCGGTCATATACACACATTTATGCTCTTCATTTTCTCATTAAGCTAGAGCCGTTTCCTCAAACCATTAATCCCTGTTTCGTCCGTAAAAAACAGAGGCAGAAAATCCTCATTAAACAATTAACCAACATCCAACAAAAAATTATTGTAACCGAAAACCATAAAATTCAAAACATGAAGCCCCTGTTTCAGTGAACTAACAAGTCGGTCCATCACAAATCGAAATCAGTAACAACATAAATTCAAGGACCACCGGAATTTGAAGGACGACAGCAACCACAAATTCAAGGACCACCGGAATTTCAAGGACCACCGGAATTTCAAGGACCACAGCAACCACAGGGATCAAACCGGAAAACCAACATAACAAAATTAAACCGGCCAACCTGATCCAACCAACCGAAGCCTGCCAGAGGTAGATCGGACGGTGTATTGCTCTGGGAAGAGAAGAACTCCACGCACGGCTCAAATGCGATGTCGGTTGCAGACGGTGAGAGCTGATTCGATTTGTGATGAACGAGCAGGCGACGCGACGGAGCTCACGGTCAAACACTAGACGGAGCTCACGGTCACCAACGACGCGACGGACCTTCTTGCAGGCGACCACCGACGGACCTGGCCGAGGCGACCACAGACAGAGCTCACGGTCAAACACCAGACAACTTCCGACCACTGGACATGCACACCTCCCACCCAACAGCCGACCTCACCACAATGACGGGACAGAGCTCACGGTCACCAGCGACGGAGCTTCTCGGAGGCGACCACGGACGGACCTTCTTGTCGAGGCGAGCAAAGACAGAGAGCAAGTGGGGGCTCGGGTTGAA